GGCCTCGGTTGTTTACTAGGGACACATTATGCAACCTCCACCACGCATGACACCACTCCTCCCCTTACAGAGAGAATATACACATGTAGGCTAGCTATAGAAAGCCTAGGTGAGGGGTTCTTACTTTGTCAACCCTCCACCCCCTTTTTAATCTATTTATTTATTTCGGATGTTTTTTTTTTCAGTTGCAAAACAGATTACGGTCCAGGTTGCAACACAATGGACGCTCAACGCACCACTTCCTACAGTCATCCGCGCTGTCAATGGGGCGCGCGACGGGGTCCTCTTCAGGATTCTTGAGCAGGGAACTCGCGCAGGTGTCGCAAAGCTATAAAACACACCAACGGGAGGTGATGGGGGTGGTGGAGGTGGTGTGGGTGGGTTGGTTGGTTGAATTTAGTGTGTGGGAGTGTGTTGGGGGCGCGGGGGCTACCTACTGTCATTAACGTGGGTGATGATCTCTTTTTATTTGGTGCAAAAAGTTACGCTTTAAGCTTGAAAGACTCAATGTAAACAGTGCATTATGTCCTGCTGACGTTTTAGGTTATCAATGCTATATTTTACCGAGCTGTACGTGTGTGCGTGCGCATCGATCGAAGAACTGAAGATAATGAAGAAAATATGAGCGTCAGCGTCGAGAAGCGTCGCAATAAATTCTAATTTGAACAAGTATGCGGAACGGATCACGTGGGGACAGGGGCCGCGCGCGCACGCGTGGAATTCGAGGGGCTACGTGACCACGCGTGCGCGAGAGGTGGAGGTGTGCCACCTCGACGGGGCAACTACTGCTAAGAGAGCGAATCTCTTAAATATTCATTATTAGGGCCACACTAAAATGTGAGAAGGGGAGGGGGGGATTATCACCATCCTTGGTGATTTTTTATTTTTCAATAGATAGTCCAACTTCGTGACACAAAAGTTGTAAGATTAAGAATGTTGGACAAAAAAGACAAAAAACGTATGCCTCGAGGAAATGTTTCTTTTGCAAATAAAATTGTACTTTTGGGGACAAAATGTCTCATTTATTTAAATAAGAAGTTGAATTAAACACATGGAAAAAGTAGCATTTCATATTCAATAAAATAGATTTGAGATATTTTGGACAAAATGTTATTAGACAACAAACATTCTGTACAGAAACAAATCTTAATTGGATGAGTTTTTTTTATTTTTATTTTTATTTTTTATGAGTTTAAGTCAATTAACAGGTGGTGTCATTTAATCAACACGAGGTTGAAGACCTGGCATATTTATCATTTGTTTATTTGTTTATTTATTCATTTCATTGGGACAGTGCACATTAATCAGCACATGAATAAACAGTGTAAATGTGCCAGACGTAGCATAATATCTGTGCTGTTAGTAATATTATATCATATTTTACTACACCATTACAGCACTATAGTGTTGAAAAAAATGTGACTTTATTCTCATAACATTCTACACCAAAAAATTCTTTATTTTCATGAAGTACATTTATGACTTTCTCTTAAAAAGTAAGTTTAGCTTGAACAATCCTCAATTTACAAGTGACTCTACTCATAGCATTTTCAAATACTAGCCGTCGCTCATCCAATTTTTTTGCTTCAACTTGCGAGCAAAAAATTGATACGAGGTTTCCAAAACAGCGAGGTTTCCAAAACAGAGGCCAAACACTTGCATCAAGCAGTTTATTCCCACCCAGTGGAAGTTTACCGTGAAACTAAACATCAAACAAAGAGAATTGCACATGTTTTTGAAGCAAACACAAAACATCGCCCTAAATAAGTCTACTAGCTAAATGCTAAGACATTATGTAAAATGCCTCAGACAAGCTTACGAATAGTTTCAATGATTTGTCATGATAAGCAACAGCTATTTGAATACAAACGGTGGAGCAATAAATTTAGACAGACACTTTAACAATACTCACAAACATGCTTGCTTTATGATATGGAAAAAATGACAACTATTACTGTAGCTTACAGAGCGGTTGTGACCTTCGTCTATTTATGTGTGTATATTATACTGCCTCCTAACGGCCAAGGAGCTCACAACAGAAGGACAATGACTTGCACGTATTTGTAATGCATAAACTGTTTAATTATCCATTCTATTTAACTATATAATTACTTTGTTTTTGAGAAAATACAATATGCAGATTGTTTTTCAGAATATAAAAACTGTGAAAAAAATGCTGGTGTTTTATGGAGGCCTGGGACAAATTAAAGGCACTTAAATTCATTTTAGTGGGCAAAGATGAACTGAGAGATGAGCATGGTCATGGAATGAATTACATTCTCAAATCGAGGCACCACCATAAAATTTAAAAGTATTTTCAATCACTTATCACCAGATGGTGTTGTGCGCTGTGATTGGCGGGGCCGCATTTCCCCGGGTGGGCTGATTCAAGGTGGAAAAAAAAAATTCAAAAACTGAAAAATTTCAAAGGAATTGGGTAATTTCTAAAAATATATATTTTCTTTCTTTGGAGTTAATACTGCACAAGTGGGATAACACATTCCTATTACCATTTATCATGAACATGAAAAATAAACCAATGGTATTATCGATCGACTGGCAACCCCTTGTTTCCCACCCTTCGTGCCAACCTGTGGTGATGACGTCACCCCCCACCCACCACTCCACCCGCGTGGAGTCCCATCACGAGCTGTGGGTGTCCCGTTGGGCGTGAATGGGATGCCTCTCTCTCTCTCTCTCTCTCTCTCTCTCTCTCTCTCTCTCTCTCTCTCTCTCTCTCTCTCTCTCTCTCTCTCTCTCTCTCTCTCTCTTTTTCTCTCCATCGACTCTTCCCTCTTGTATCCCGAGGCTGCCACGCCGGACGGAGAGCACCGCACTCGCGCCGCCGCTTTCCACGGGACTCCCCCTCCTCCCGTCCGAGCCCGTGAGAAGGGGAGGGGGGGATTATCACCATCCTTGGTGATTTTTTATTTTTCAATAGATAGTCCAACTTCGTGACACAAAAGTTGTAAGATTAAGAATGTTGGACAAAAAAGACAAAAAACGTATGCCTCGAGGAAATGTTTCTTTTGCAAATAAAATTGTACTTTTGGGGACAAAATGTCTCATTTATTTAAATAAGAAGTTGAATTAAACACATGGAAAAAGTAGCATTTCATATTCAATAAAATAGATTTGAGATATTTTGGACAAAATGTTATTAGACAACAAACATTCTGTACAGAAACAAATCTTAATTGGATGAGTTTTTTTTATTTTTATTTTTATTTTTTATGAGTTTAAGTCAATTAACAGGTGGTGTCATTTAATCAACACGAGGTTGAAGACCTGGCATATTTATCATTTGTTTATTTGTTTATTTATTCATTTCATTGGGACAGTGCACATTAATCAGCACATGAATAAACAGTGTAAATGTGCCAGACGTAGCATAATATCTGTGCTGTTAGTAATATTATATCATATTTTACTACACCATTACAGCACTATAGTGTTGAAAAAAATGTGACTTTATTCTCATAACATTCTACACCAAAAAATTCTTTATTTTCATGAAGTACATTTATGACTTTCTCTTAAAAAGTAAGTTTAGCTTGAACAATCCTCAATTTACAAGTGACTCTACTCATAGCATTTTCAAATACTAGCCGTCGCTCATCCAATTTTTTTGCTTCAACTTGCGAGCAAAAAATTGATACGAGGTTTCCAAAACAGCGAGGTTTCCAAAACAGAGGCCAAACACTTGCATCAAGCAGTTTATTCCCACCCAGTGGAAGTTTACCGTGAAACTAAACATCAAACAAAGAGAATTGCACATGTTTTTGAAGCAAACACAAAACATCGCCCTAAATAAGTCTACTAGCTAAATGCTAAGACATTATGTAAAATGCCTCAGACAAGCTTACGAATAGTTTCAATGATTTGTCATGATAAGCAACAGCTATTTGAATACAAACGGTGGAGCAATAAATTTAGACAGACACTTTAACAATACTCACAAACATGCTTGCTTTATGATATGGAAAAAATGACAACTATTACTGTAGCTTACAGAGCGGTTGTGACCTTCGTCTATTTATGTGTGTATATTATACTGCCTCCTAACGGCCAAGGAGCTCACAACAGAAGGACAATGACTTGCACGTATTTGTAATGCATAAACTGTTTAATTATCCATTCTATTTAACTATATAATTACTTTGTTTTTGAGAAAATACAATATGCAGATTGTTTTTCAGAATATAAAAACTGTGAAAAAAATGCTGGTGTTTTATGGAGGCCTGGGACAAATTAAAGGCACTTAAATTCATTTTAGTGGGCAAAGATGAACTGAGAGATGAGCATGGTCATGGAATGAATTACATTCGCAAATCGAGGCACCACCATAAAATTTAAAAGTATTTTCAATCACTTATCACCAGATGGTGTTGTGCGCTGTGATTGGCGGGGCCGCATTTCCCCGGGTGGGCTGATTCAAGGTGGAAAAAAAAAAATTCAAAAACTGAAAAATTTCAAAGGAATTGGGTAATTTCTAAAAATATATATTTTCTTTCTTTGGAGTTAATACTGCACAAGTGGGATAACACATTCCTATTACCATTTATCATGAACATGAAAAATAAACCAATGGTATTATCGATCGACTGGCAACCCCTTGTTTCCCACCCTTCGTGCCAACCTGTGGTGATGACGTCAGCCCGCACCCGGCGCTGCCCTGTAGAGATGGGCAAATCGATACCAAAACATTGATATTTCGCTCCAGGGTGCTCAACTTGAAACATCGATCTTCAAGCTAAAGTATCAAAATTTGCAATTCATTTATTATGCTGTATTTTCTTTTAGGGTATATTATTCTGCCTACAAACTACTTTTTCCTTCTGCCCTCTGCATGCACAGCGTCTGCTCTGCCCACTCTTACTATTGTTTCTCTCTCTTTCTCTCTCTCTCACTCTCTCTCTCTCTCTCTCTCTCTCTCTCTCTCTCTCTCTCTTTTTCTCTCCATCGACTCTTCCCTCTTGTATCCCGAGGCTGCCACGCCGGACGGAGAGCACCGCACTCGCGCCGCCGCTTTCCACGGGACTCCCCCTCCTCCCGTCCGAGTCCCCCCTCCCTCCCGCACTCGGACCGCGAGCATGACGGAGGAAAGTCGGGGCAAGAGGAGGAAACAAGCCAACCCGAGGAGAAGTCAAGGTAAGCGGCTGAACTGGAAGAAAGTAGATGGCTGCAGTTTGATGTGGATGGAGGAGAGCCCTCACGCGTGGAGATCCCTACTTTGTCAACAGCATGGCTTTCAAACTTTCGCTCATGCGTTTCTGGACCTTTATTGTTTCAAAAGTTTAAAATCTTCACGGTGGCTGCGCGCGCACCTTGTTGTAAGATGCTCGGCAGTGACACAAGTCAGCATGATGAGCTCATAGCTCATATAAACGTTGTGCTAATAAATGACGTCAGGTGTCAACATATCTGTTTTACTGAAAGCCCCCCTCCCCACCGACAAATATCAACTAGAAACTACTTTTTGTTGTTTTCACGAGTTGGTGCACACTCATGCACACAAAGCAGGCAGACTGCTGACTTGGGCTGAAACACTCAACACTTGCATGCCCCTTTTGATATACTGTATATATATATA